GGGGGGGGGGGGGGGGGGGGTATGAGTGAAAACGCTTTATATTTTGCAATCGGGAATCGTGCTACACGATGGTTCCGGAAAGTGAAGTCCCAAAGAAGGCTGTTGGTATGTTGGTGACAGGGGCTGAAGTTTTCAAAAATCTGGGCCGCACCATCGAGTCCAAATTTCTCACAGCAAATCAGAGGAGCAAAGATTGCTCCTAGCAATCAAAGAAGCTTTAACTACATGACTCGTGTGCTTACCTATCTACTGTAGGCTTCAAAATGTTGGCGTGCAAAATATTTTCTTTCCATGGCTGAGAAGAAAAGAGAGGAAAAGACATGTTAATCCTATCATCCGTTAAACCGTTGACGAAATTTAAATTTAAATTTTAACTAGTAATACTATCATTGGTTGTCTTTACACTAGGCTGTTAAGTAAGACTTAAGAGCTGCTAAGTTTTACTTAACTAAAAAATACGTGTAAAGGCCTAACTAAAATCTCAAGTAACCTTACTTTGCATTCCATTAAAGTCGGAAAGTTGAAACGATTCAAGAAAGTTTCAAGTGACTTGAAAACCATCCTTAAAACCGACTTAGCGAACTTGCGGCTTCTAAGCTTTGAGAAAAGCGAAGCATGTTAATCAATCCTAATTATTCTGCGTGGGAAACTAGGTTTAAGTACACCTGAAATAAAAAAGATAGATTGCGTGTGAAGTTTTCTTTTACTTTCTTTTTTCTTCATTCATCAAAACGTTGCTCTAGTTTTAATTTAGCTTTTCCTTTTGAAAAGGCGAGAAAGTGCCAGCATATTGATTTCTTAACACTCATAACTTATTCCACATCAAAAGAAAGTGTAAAAAAGGCAAGGACTCCCCAAGATCTTCGAGTTTATTGAAACTCTTGAGGTATATTCGTGAAATTGCGAAACAGAATGGGAGAGGAAGAAGACGACAAACCTTGTGTGACAAGCGTGACAATAATTTTGTTTTAAAAAACTTTCCGCCAATCTTCACCCTATTTTTAACAGATCTTATTATAAAGACCAGAAAGTATTAATGGGAAGTAAAGAACACAACAAAACGCGCAAGTAATAACCATGTCAAGTTGTCAAACACAAGCGTTTTGCCGTCCTCTTCTTTCTGCCGTCCTGTTACCTAAACTCACTATTACTACGATTAGGCCTGTTGGGTAAATTGTGGTCCAGGTAGCGGACAATCTTCGTACCTTATTAAGTTCGTCCACCCGAGCTGAGTCAGCTTTCTTAGGGTGTACGTTTGAGATCATCGAGGTCTTTTTTCCAGGGAATATAAATCCTTTATTAGTTCTCCAGAGTGCTTTGGAGTCTGTAAGTTCTCGTTTCTTTACAGTCTCTGGGTGAATGGGGAGAACTGTAGCAGAGTTGTATAAAGGGCAGTAGGTAAAACGTCTATCTTTCTCCTACGAAGGAATAAGTAAAATTAGCTTATTCAAGCGACAATACCAAGTTTACACCTTGCGAGCCGAAGTAGCCAGAGCCCAAACTTCTGGACTAGTCAAACTTATTTTCTCTCGTTAAACTGCCTTTTTCGAGTGCGAGCATAAATTCTTTTTTTATAGAATGTGGTGAATTTTACGCACCCTGTGATTGACCGTTACCCATGATTTATTTAAGTACAGACATATGGATGACGACAAAGGTAACCGAGAAATAGGTGGTAATGATCGAAGACAGGAGAAAAACGCGGGAAAAATCAACCGGCGCCAAGAACGGATAACCAAACAACATATAGTGATGGAAGGGTAGCGCACAACGGGTGTCAATTAATTACATACCCTGGCTAGGACTTCTCTTAGCTTTTCTTTGGCCAGTTCAGTAGAGTTCAGGGTCTGTATGCTGTAGTTATGCGCAGTGTATTGATGAAGATCAGTCATGTCTACAGCAATAGTGTGCGGTCTTCTTTTAGGTTCTGTTGTACGAGTCCTCATCTAAAGTAAAAAGAATTTGAAAAGATAGGTCATTACAATCCGCAATACCAGACAGTATCAAACGCAAGTCCAAATACTGTAGAATGCACCAGGCGCTCAGATAGTAGGGATGTCGTGAAAACAAGCTTAGCGAAAATAAGACGCGCGGTATTTGGGGAAGAAGGCACGCGCTTAAGGACTGATGGGATAAAAGCGATGTCACGTGGTTTCTCAGGCGGCAAAAAAGTGATAAATTTTTCCAAAACTACAAATCGCGGTCGAGTTGTTTATTCTTGACAACAGAAAATGGACAACTTTTTATATTAAAGACGATAATGGCAAATTATGGTTGAGAGTGATCATTTTTACTTGTTTGGATGCAGTAGCGACTGTAGACGTCCTTACAGCAAGCAATAATGACGTCAATTTTGTCGAAACTCAAACCGTGCATTTTGCATGACTATTTACTCGTCGTTTCATTTTAAGAGAATAAACAAAGTCGACCGCGATTTCTCGCATTGGCAAATGTTATCTTTTGTTTGCAATCTGAAATACCACGTGACATTACTTTTATCCCATCAATCCTAGCGCGCGTGTAAAGATGGCGGGTATCGTGAATAAGGTCTATTCCGTGTTCAGATACACCACCATCTACCTTCTCTCTCCCCAGTCCCAGCTCGTCAACTACGCCTGACAAATCAACAAACGTACCAATAAAAATGTTTTTCTTTTCTTTTTTTATCAGCAATGTTATATATTTGTTTTACTTACAATATTCTCTTTGACGAAGTCATGTTTAACCAGTTGACCCTCTCTTTCCTTAAGAAGTGCAACATAATCAGTGTTGTATAGGGACAAGGGTGTCCACGGCCGAGTTGTCTTGGGTCTAGGGTCCTCCAGCCGGTTGCCTGTACCAGCCGCTTCTATTTCGGATCCATTACTGGACTCTAGTTCTAGACGGCAGAAAAGAGCAATATTTGTCAACGCTGTGTTATACTGTTTAAACAGTTTTGAAATGGTATGGCACGGTGGCTTATACAAGCACATTTAAATATACTGCATATAGCACAACCACAATTCACGGAAGATAGAAACAGAACGAAATAGAACGAGTGCTCACGGCAATATACCGAGAAATCACAGAAATGCAACGAGTAATCAGGAACACCGAAACACAGAAAACTCACGAAAACAAAAAGTCAACTCAAAGCGAAACACTATAAGAGCTCACAGCGAAACCAACCAAGAAATCACAGCAACACAAGGAGAGATCGAGGCAAAATATTGAGAACTCACAGAAACGCAACGAGTGATCCCGAAAAAACACCGAAAAATCACGAAAACACAAAAATAACTCTGAACTTTAATACGGCAACACAACGACAGCTCACAGCAAAACCAACCAAGAAATCACAGCAACACAAGGAGAGCTCACGCCCAAAATACTGAGAACTCAAGTAAGTGAAATAATTTGTCGGTGTCAGCAGCGAAGTGGGAAAAGGATACAGCAAGGACAAACAGATTTTAGCAAGGTGCGCAGGCCGTTGGAAATGTCCTGAAAAAAATTTCAGGAAGATTAAGAAGGAAAAGACACCACCACCACACATCAGCATCATGCAGCGCAGGGAAACGGAAGAACTATAGAGGGTTACTTGCAAAAGTGTACAGGAAAAGTACAGAATGACCCACTTCAGACCTTAAAACGTTCTTTGAGTGTACTTCCAAGGAAGAAGAAATCAGAGACTTTAAGTGATGACAGTGCAACTTTGTCACTCTGAAGATGAAAGACCTCTTCGCCACTAAGGAAGAATGGAGAAAAACAGACTGAGATACACAAAGTCTGGAAACCAGGATGTAAAATAATAAATTGAGTAACAAGGTCGTATAGCAAGAAAATTAGAACAAGAGCAGTTTAAATGAGATCTTTCGTGCCCACACGTTCCCGGGCCTTCACCTTTGTTGTTACATGCCGCGCGTCGGCCACCAGCCGTGGCAGCTGGCGTTGAATAGCCTGCGAACTACAGACGTATTTCCGGTCGTCGGAGGGAGAGAAGCGACGACCGGAAATACGTTTGCAGTTCGTAGGCTGGGCGTTGAAAGGAAAGATTGCTTTTGAGGAGGTTGTTAGACGCTTTTTATTTTTATCCTTCCTACTACACTTTGCGGTCTCTGTTTCTAACCATATAACGAGAGCTAGAAAGGAGAGCGACTTGCAAGTGTTTAATGCGCTAAACGTCAGCACTGGTAACCCATCTTTTATGACTGACTACATAATTCTTGCAAGTAGAGGTTTTATAACACACATGCTCCTTAGAAGAATTACACATGATGTTATGAAGGTATGACCACAAATCTATATATAGAGATATGCCTACATGTGTCTTTAACCATGATATTTTCTTATATCGCGACTTCTGAGAAACTGTGAGAGAAGAAAATTAATTTCAAGAAACCCCAGCTTAAGCTTGTTGACTTTTTCACTTCCTTTCTTTTGCTTTTGCAAGGTGACTGAAAAGCCGCGAGAAGTGCAGCAGCCCTTTTTGCTCCTCATCGACTTCTGTCAACGCCAGTAGATAAGCACAACTACTGCTGGAGATTTACAAGAACCTACCTCCGAAATCCTCTGCAGTCAGCGGCACTCCAAACTCTCGGCTCATAGACACAATCATGTCAGCTGAAGGAAATAAGTCGTTACGAGTCACCTCTCGGAGTTTCGTGACTCTTAACATCTGCAAGAAATATGTGGCGGTGGCTGTTAAGCAACAACACTGACAATAAACTTGTTCCCAGCGTCATCTTAAGAGAGAGGACCTTCGAAATGCGGTCGAACAGTGATAACGTCTAGTTAGGAACTGAGGAAACTTCCCGCATTAAGGGGTGTTTAAGAGAGTAAAGTAATTGATGTAATTTAGTGATTTTAAAGACTGTAGTGTAACGGATCTCATTACCACAAACTGAGGCCATGTCCACTCGAATTCGGACATTTTTTAAACCGCATATTTTCTATCCTGATTCGTGTGGACGGTAGTCTCTTTTAGGTTCATCACGCCCTAGGAGCGTTGCGTGACGACCTTAATAATAGCTGCGAAGGAGATTATGTGGAAGGGAACTTAAACCGCTCTGGAGAGCGGTTTGAAAACAACGCGGTTTCGGTGACTGGATTCATTGGTTTTGTGTGAACGGAAGGCCGATTCTTGTAGAAAAAGGTATGCGATTTCCGGATCCGTGTGGAGGTAGCAATTCGTGTGTCCTGCAATTATCGACAGGAAAGCTATTGTTTGGCGGTCACTCAAGGAAATCATTGCAATGAGTTCCGTCTGCCCACAAGCGCAATGCCCATTACCAATGAAACATTGTCAAAGCAATCCAGTTGCTGAGGAAATTACATGGCCACGCAGAGATACGAAATTTCTCTTCTCGTGTTGAAAAATATTTCACTCGTTCGCGCGCTATGTATTATATAAACACCAATGAAATACCAAACCTTTTCAATTCAATAGTTCTTTTGTTGTAAAAGGTGCGATTTGTTGTGTTGTTATAGCAATGGTTGGCGTGTGAAGATGACATGTTATTTTCACATGTAAAGATAATCATGTTTTCGCGCGACAGCTTACCTGGTATTTCATTGGTGGTTATTTTATAATGTTATTGTAGTTACTATATAATAGTGTATGAAGAATTAAGTAAGTATTTCGCGACAATATCAAGTCTCCCAGTGTTCAATAGTCCGTTTTTTTCCCAGACCTTACCTGGTCGAGTTTGGCCAATGCCTCAAAGCAAGGTTTCGGTACCAGATCCCTGACGTACAGCAGTGGATTTTGAACTATGACCTCAAGTGGCTCGTGAAGTCTTACTCGGCACAAGTCCACGTCGAGCGCTGCGTACAACCGCTCGTGAAACCGGAGAGCAGAATTGTAAAGGACATTGAACTTGGTGATATCTAAAGCAAAAGCAAAAAAATGAAGTAAAACGCTTAATAACATGCAAAAGGAACGCTGAGACTTCTATTCTTGTAAGGTGTTGTGTGAACTATGCTAGAACTGCATGTACAAAAATACACTAGCTGATGCACAAAAACAACAACAACAAAACACAACACAGCAGCAACAACAAATTCTGCATGGCGAGAGAAAGATAGCAATTCCTTCCCGAAGGTGAGAGCAAATAAAAAAATGTTTCTTGGCCGATTTATCCCGGCCCAAACAATACCAAACCGATCGTTACATTGCCACTTAAAGCATTTCCCGCGAATACCCATTGTCCCTGTAGAGAATAATAATGTACTTTTTTTAATAATAGGCATAAACACCAAATACGATAACGAATACCAACACATCTTTTAATTTTAATGAACGAGAGTCCTTTTCGGTATTCAAACAAACTGACATTCCTCAAACCAAACACGTACTATTTCTTGACAGTTTAAAGCTACGTGCAAACGGACGCAACGACTCCCAACAATGTTGCGTCCGTTTGCACGGGGCTAAAAAGTTTGACCGGTTTCAAACTTTGCGCAAAAACATCCAACAACTCCCAACAACATGCAACAGGGTGTGCAAACGGACGCAACATGTAACTTCCAACAATGTTGCGTCCGTTTGAACTTACCCGAAGTACCAAGAGTGACCAACATCAATTTCCTCTTAACACTATCCATACATAATCAAAAGCAAATGTTATGAGAATTAATGAAATGATCCCCTGAGGGAAACGCTTTGATCCTTTGTCAAATTCTCTTATCTACATGTAATTCTTTGTGGAATGAACTGAGATCAGTCTGGAGAGTTTTTTTGTGGATATTGATGCATAACGAGTTAACAATGTACCTACCTTCTTCCTGTGGTCTGGGTAGTTTATCCCAGAGTTTTTTGATGCCCTCATTAGCCAGACCTTCTAAAACAAACACGTGGTACTGTCCATCAAGAACTTGAAATCCTGTTATAATGTCTAATGTTTTGCTCTTTCGCTGATCTCTGCGGAAAGAAAGTAACCAGACTAATTGATTACGACAGCAGAACTCTGTCTCCTTAGTTCCTAGTCGCTCGCGTTCACTTCCCATCACTTCCCGCGCTCTGCGCTCGTTCCCATCATTCCCCTCTCTCCCTTATCTCTCGTCTCCAGGCATTCGCACTTCTTACTTGTGGAGAAGGCAAGAATTCTTTGATATCCACAGACCGCCTAACCTTCAAATTTTTCGGATGAGTGTTTTTTTTTTCCTCCTTAAATTTAAACCGCGAAACGACGAGAGATTTCTCGTTTCAGAAAGTACGAGCCTCGTAGGCGCGAAGGCTCATCCCAGTCCCACTTTTCGGCTATTTTAGAGTCTGGAATGAATATATGGTAATGCAACGAAACAACTGGGAGTTTAAAATCTTCATACATTAATCTTCTAAGAAATTTCTTCGCAGTGTTCAGCAGTGACAGAGTAAGTCCTTCAAAATGTTTTTTTTTGCTCTCAAAACTACCGTCTAGTCCTTACCTTGAAAGTTTGTACGTTGACAAAGCAGCTTCGATCACATGTTGCGGTAGTGTGTCTAGTTCCAGGGCNTTTAAGACTGCAGTTGAGGAAGAAAGGGGGCATTTTTGTAACCAAACATGTAAAAAATACGAACAAAAGGGCACTGGGAAAAGGTAAGATAAGCAAGTTTAAGAGGGAAGTTGCATGGTTGGTTTTCAAACTCACACAAACCAAGAGGAATTTGCGTAAAAGGGAGTACAGAAAGAGGGAGAGGGGGTTGGAGGGGGGGGGGGGGTGTATTTTTGGCTACTCATTTAATTTAGCCAAGATGATCCATACAGAACTAGAACGCAAAGTGAAAACGCGAAGGAACTTCAAGTTGGACATCACGCAGCCGAAGATCCAAAACAAATCCGAACTTCCAGCACACGAATACAGCATACCAGATCAGTCCACGTGAACTATTAGGGTCATAATGCATTAAATATACTGTATCATTAAGAATAAGAGGAGGGAGGAAGCCTTGAAAAAGAGGGAGGGGGGGTGCGTTATAACTTTTTTCGCCTAAAAGGGAGAGGGTTGCTTATTAGAGAAGGGGTAGGGGAGGCTTAATAGAGGATTTACGGGTGCAGTCGAACCTCTTAAATACGGACAGCAAAAGGACAGAGCGAAGTGTCCGTATTGGAGAGGTGTCCGTATAAAAGATGTCACTACCATGACGTCACTTTTATGACTGCAATTGCAGTTTTAAGTGTTCAGTAGCTAAAACCAGGCTTACAGTCGTCTTTAAACTGCATTTTTTATTAATTCACAGTACGAAGACTCTCTCTTTCAGTAGCATTCAACGTTGTACATATCAGCTACGTACTAACAGCCGTAGACAAATCACTGTTTTAAAACGAAACGAGCTACAGCGCAATGCTGCATGTAAAAAGTTGAAACGTAAAGCACAATTCTGAAAGAGTCTTTCGCTATTTTGCAAGCGCAGTGAACAGTAACTATAGAGTACAAAATGTAATAGAAAAGATCTTTATGCTATCTGTAGTCATTCAAGCCTTAAAAAAGTCGGTTACGTTCCCCTGTACACCTTTTGCAGATCGTTGTTTGATATACAGCGACTGGGCTTTTGAAGTCACCTTGCATAGCTCATCAGCCAGACGGGATTCACCCTGTACAGATTCACTTGATCGGGATACAGGATTCGCCTAATCACCGCAGTGTCCGTAATAAAGAGGTTAAGTTTATATGAATTTACCCTCTAGGGCCGAGATTTAGTGTCTGTTGTTCGTATTACAGAGAGTCCGTATTATAGAGGTTTTTGTTAAAGAAAATATACGAGAATTTTGTCGGGACATTGGAAACTGTGTCCGTACCGAGAGGTTCGACTGTATTACCAATGAACTCGGACTTCAGCACCATTGGCTGCTGCTGCTCTCGGTCCATTTATTAGCTTACTGTATTCCATACGTGATAAGTGAAGTGCTAACAGGCAGACGATACCGCCGAACCTATCTATTAACAACGATTCGTTTTCTGTTCACTTACGTTTGTTTGCTAATTGCTGGAAACTTAAATAAAGACATACCAGAAAGGGCGACCGGTCTTTTCGCTAACGTCCCGTTCGCCAATCACTTACGTCGTTTCGCCAAGAAGCGAAACGAGAGCTGTGCATATATATTTGCACATGATACAAAAAAAGGCATGTACAAAAAAGTGCGATACGCTTGTATATACCTCGTTCTTTCAGCCACTGATAAGGTGAAAGCAGTTGGGAAGTGAAACGACTTCAGAAGTTGGCGAACAGGAAGTTGGCGAAACGACTCGTAGGCGAAACGACCGTAAACCCCGGAAAGGACAAATGCAAAGGCCAATACTTCCATGACATAAATTACCCTAAACTCACCTCATCCTCTTGCTTGGTGGCTGTGGGCTCGACAGAATTCTCAGCGTTTAAAGGATAGGCAAGATCCACCTTTACCTTCAGTTCACTCCCGTGTTCCAAGTAATTAGCAACTGGCATGGGTTTATCCTCTGAAAGAGCATTTTTGGCGTGTTACTAATAATTTTCTCCTTGACCACAAATTCATGTTGCTACGATTGTATAATTTTTCCTTTTTGTAAGCCTTTTAAAAATAGTAAGTGTTGCAAATACGTTTTATGTAAACCTGCACAGTCTCCGGCTCTCACTGAAGGAAATTATTTTCAGCTTTGTCATTTTTTGGGCAATGAATAGAATTCTGGGAGCTAATTGACTGAGCCAGTGGTAATGGATTATCACGCACGATTCCAATTGCCCCTTCAGTGAGCACATATTTTACGCAAAGTAACTTCATCTTTGTATGGGACAGGAAAATGTGGCTTTTCAACATCACGTGACGTGGTCTCGTTTGACTTTATGCAGAGGGACCACTTATGATTCAGTAAAAAAAACTTTAAGGCAACTTACGTTCGTATTATTTTTCATTTGGCGTAATTTATTCAGTTTACCACTCATTGGATTGAATTACCGAGAAATTGCACATATTATTTTGCCACTGACGGTAGTCTGTGCCCAGTATTTAACGTACCTGGTCCATCGACATTTCCAGGTTGTCCCACGATAGGTCCGTCTGGCTTTTGCAGTCCAGAATGCGTGTCCGGCAGGGGACAGCAGTGTATTGGTGACCTGAGATGTAGGTATTTTTGACCAAGTAACAGACCTGACAAGTCAAACTTGGCTATACCGTACGGATCCCAGGGTTTGTCACGGCTGCTGAACGGGTTGTGAGTAGTGCGGCGGCCTAACAAGAATAATCATAGCACAAGCTCATATCTCTAATTTCCATGACTTTATGTCGCTAGTATTTTCTGCATCTTTGAATGGGGGCATTTGAAAAACGAAAGGTTAAAAGATGTAAGGACGTTTAACACAGGACATTAGTTATTCGGCGATTCGTACCTTATGGATCCTACAGAAACTGCTACTCATTTTGCGTCATCTAAATTGCCGTTCTTCTAGAACAATTTAAGTTATCCGTTATCAGTAAATGCCGTTCTGTGTTGAAGGTAATCTTCTTTTATCATTCTCATTTCTTTTTTTTTGGATAAGAAAAAAAAATGCCTAGGTCGGTTGGACCAGAGAAATGGAGACAAATAGATTAGTGGATTAACGCATAAAGAGATCTTCCACACAAACGTCTGTCGTGGTCTGTAGAAACTTGTAAATCCAGTTACCCGTAACGTTGTTTCGCTAAACAACGCATATTAAACCTTTAAATTTGAAGATAAGACTACAGTGTAGCCGGTCTGAACTCTTCTTATATGAAAGCGATATGAAGAGATGAAAACGTTCGCAGCTTTAACTTATGCGGTTAATTCGCCAGTCTCTTACCTGCCACAAGGCTAACGTTATTTATCATCTCATCCTCTGGATTTTCGCCGAATAAACTTGGTTTGGGTTTCTTTTGTTCTATCTTACG